CTGGGAAGCCATCTGGCCCTGGGCTTTTGTTTTTTGGGAGATTTTTGATGACTGCTTCAATTTCCTTAGTGGTTATAGGTCTGTTCAGGTTTTGTCATGTATCGTCCTGACTTCTAATGTATTTCCAATCAGACCTATTCAGACTAATGTACCATATTGAATGTGATCATAAATTCAAGTTTGCAATTTAACTCTAATTAATTTTAGATCACAGCTTTCCCTGACAACTTAAGGGTACTTCATAATTAGATATAGACATGTGAGTGGACCCAATTCTCTGGTATATAAAACACATAGTGAATATATGTGTAGGTTTATGTACAATGTATATTTTGCTAAATTCAGAATGAATATTTCAACAAAAACACTAAAATTCGAAAAGATATACTCACCCCTATGTTTATTGCAGCATTATTTACAATAGCCAAGATATGGAAGCAACCCAAGTGTCCCTCCATAGATGAATGGATAAGGAAAATGTGGTGTATATATTTACAGTGGAAGAATACTCAGCCATAAAAAAAAAAGAATGAGATTTTGCCATTTGCAACAACATGGATGGACCTAGAGGATATTATGCTAAGTTATTATAAGTCAGACAGAGAAAACAAATATCATGATTTCACTTATATGTGGAATCTAAAAAACAAAACAAAACAAAAAAACAGACTCATACAGAGAACAAACAGGTAGTTGGCAGAGAGGAGGGGTAAGAGAGATAAGCAAAATAGATGAAGGAGATTAAGAGGTACAGACTTCCAGTTATAAAATAAATAAATAAATAAATAAAAGTGATGAAAAAGACAGTATAGGAAATAGAGTCAAAAATTTGTTTTAAATTTGTATGGTGATAGATGGTAGCTACACTTACCATGGTGAGCACTGAGTAAGATACAGAGTTGTCGAATCATTGTGTTATTTGCCTGAAACAAATATAACATTATATATCAACTATATTTCAATAATAAACATTTTATTAATAATGTTTTATTTATCATAACTTCATAACATTTTTTGATATCTGATAGGACTATGTCTTTTTTGTTAAGTAGGCTCCCCACCCAATGTGGGGCTTGAACTCAGGACCCTGAGATCAAGAGTTATATGCTCTACAGATTGAGCCAGCCAGGCACCCCAATAATAAAATTTTTCTTAAAAAGAATGAATATTTTGGTTCAGTACTATGAGATTTTGAGGCTTTCCTTTTACATCAGAACAAGGTGCTTGGAATGTTTTGACTCGGTGACTCTTCTATGAAAGACATCTAGAAACTGGCAGGTTTAGGCTGAGGTGTTGTTATCAACAATTCAGTAAGTTATAGCAGTTATTTTAAAGTTGTATGAAAAAAGTCACAGTCATCCAGCTAATGATAGGGAGGTAACAGAGAGAGAGAACTAAGAAATATAGAACAACACTGACGTGTAATTGGTATCATTCATAAATCAGCTGCTAATCTGTTTGTCCATCAAACACCTTCTCACAAAGAAAAAATAATGTTCACCTCCAGATCTTTATTTCTCTTCCAAAAACTTTATTACTATTGAATTGTTCATGTTCAACAAAATACCATATATAAAATTATTTTAATTTACATAGGCTGATGATTTCATTACAAATAGGAATTTCTCTTGTAAAAGTTAATGAACTTTGTCTCTGATTTTGACAAGCAACCAGGTACTCCCCCCCAAAAAAAGAGGGACACAGAAAAAAAACTCGATTTTGAAAGCCAGATATGCTGCAGAATCTAAAGATAGGGTTAACTATTCCATCTTTCTTAAATAATTCTAATTGAAGTAGAAGTGGGCTGGAATTTGTGATTTCTCAGGGGAAGTGGTACAAGCAGTTGTAATAGCAGAAACATCTCAGGAAACTATTGGCTTTTAATGGCATGTGGCAAATTATTTACCCTGAGGGGAGACACTGACTGAGGTCACGGCAGATAGATGAGTCCCAGATGTGACACATTTTCATTATATTCCACACAGGAAGCTGACACATAATTAAAGTATGATTAGGGATTATTTACAGCTTTGGGATGCTGTCGAAATATTCCAATCCTACTATAGTTATCTTATTAGTAAAATCATTAAGACTGTCTTTAAATCATTATTTAAGTATTTTCTTATATTTTCACTTTCTTGGAAATGTGAAAAAGCCCCCCCTCTTGAATGCTGGCTTTTTAGGGCTTGACATGTTTCAGGAGGGACGTGAGCACGTGCTGCAAAGTTAGACAGAGACGACTGGTCATTTCTCGTTCCGTCTTTGGCCACAGAACAGGTCCCAGGGAGGTCATCCTACAAGCCATGGCAGATGTCTCTCTGGATTGAGTTTAGATCATGTTCTAGGCAAAACTATAATGTGTCTCTTGTGCATGTCTGCCCTCTCTTTATTGTGTCTACACACCACATCATTGTGCCTACCTAGCTTGAGACAGCCACGCTCAGCAACTCACGTTCTTTCTCTACCCGCACCCCCACCGCCCTCCTGTAGGATCTCTGCCTCAAATTTTACCCACACCTAGCAAGTTACCACCAGGTTCCCTCCTCCTCCTAAGCCGAGTGGAGATGCGGGTTAATCATCTCATGGTGCTCCGTGCCTCTTAGGATGAAGTCCAAACTCTTTAACATGACTTTCAAAGCCCTGTTCCCTGTAGACCAACCCAACCAGCCTGGCCTCCTCGAGCTTCCCCGCCTTGCTCCAACGCTCCAACCAAACTGAATTTCTGTGGGTTCCTCAAATGGACTCATGTTCTTGCTCATCCCCGGGCTCTACCACTAGCTGTTCCCCTCCTATATGCCTAATTCTTCCCTCCCTAACACAGGGGCAATGTTCTTATGTATTTATGGAATAAAAGCAGCAAGTAATTGATTACTTAATCCATTGATTAAATCAGTTACCTTCTAGGAATACTTTAAAGTATTACCTTCCGATGTATTAATGTTACCCATCTTGATTGTGTTAGTGTTGTGGTCAATAGATAGATAGATAGATAGATAATAGATGATAGATTTTTCATATATATGTATCTTTAGTTAGCTGTGCGTGTGTATAATGAGAAGTACAGAGGAAAAATGATGTATTCATTTTATCTTGGGTGAGATAAAGTAAGATTTCTACTTCAGATTCAAAACTTTACTAACTTGACTCTTTATTTTCCTTAGCTTCTCTTTAAGAGTATGTGCATCTGTAACAGGCCAGAGCATTTCAAATCCAATAGGTGAGCATGTTTTCATTTTTACGCTCCTGTACTATACCAAGAAAAGTTAACAATAAGCATTTCTTGGCACAGACCATAGAAAACTTTGAAAGAGCCCTTTCTTAATATCAAGATTTCTATTGTATATATGGAAACTTCTACAAAACTACTACTTGAATGATTGGCGTTAATGTTATCTTTAAAAACAAATATAATAATTGGGGGGGGGAATGACCGTAAAACCATTACAAAATAAGGTTCTCAGTTTGGAGAGTATTTTCTAAAACTTTTTTCAGCTCGTGTATTGTTTTTGATCCAACTATGAAAACAATGTTTTCTTAGTAAGCAAGTTGAAATAGAAATTCATTCAAGCACTGCATTCACTGAATACATTTCCTTTCCTGATTATATTTGCTTTATTTCGGTCCCTAGGCTTGACTGCCGAGGTGCACGTAGACTCCCTAAAACAAAAAGGAGCCATTAAGCGCACGCTCTTCCTTGACAACCATCAGTCCCATCGCATCTTCCCCCTTCCCATAAAGGGGCAGAAATCCCTCCACTGCCAGGATTTTGTCGTTTACCTCCGAGTAAGTGTTCCAGAATCACCTTTCTGGCCTCTAACGTTCAGATTCAAATTCCAACCATTTTTCTCTATTGAATCATTGTACTTGTCCACAGAGATCCACATCTATTTTCCTTTTATAGGAGCAAACTTTATTACAAGGCCCCTCGCTCCATTCTTGAGCTCCGAGGCAGCTGACCTGATGGTGTGTGGCTGTTCATTCCCGAGGCTTCTTTCTGTCTTGCACACTATCCTGATACTGGTACTAACTCGAGTGGTTTTCATTTTTCACCGCCTCCCTCCCAAAAAAACCATAAACGTGAGTTATGTTTGGCCAAATGTTATCAATGCGCATTTCAGAGCCAACTCGGGAAAACGTTTAGGCAATTCAACACTTTTATTGAAAGTAATTGATAATTATATTTTTAAAGAAATGTATATTTACAATAACTCCAAAGCCTACCATGAAATAGAAGAGCCAAAATATTTATAACACTATTATTCCAGCTTCTGAGCAGTTGTGGGGTTTATCACTCTCTCTCTCGTTTTGTCTCCTCCCTTAACGGGACTTAGTGAGGGGGTGAGAGAACCCAGTGAGGGCAGAGTTCACAAACGCACTCTAGAATGCTCTAGAATGAAAAGCTGGGCGCATGACTCTTGAGTCTCATTATGACCGTGACTGGCACACATCTGAAGGTGGCATTTCCTGTGCGTGGTCTGAGGTGTTCCTGTGTGCTCAGGACCTCTGTTTCTGTTACCCCCTCCACTCTGAAGTGGGTTCTGTTTCATTTTCTGAGGGAGCTTCAAGGGCGCTGAAGGTGTTTTGAAGTTCATGCAAGCTTAAAGAGATGACAAGACAGGAGGAGAATCAAGATGTTTTCTCCACCTGAGCCCACGAGGACTCGTAAATGCTGCCAACCTCACGAAAACAAAAATCCCAGTTCACGAAGTTTTCCATGACACCTGTTACATATATAAGTAGGGTTGTTTTTTTTTTCCTTTGCAATTTGACCCATCTGGGTGGGAACCTGAAGATTGACTCCCAAAGCATATATTTCAATGAAGCCCCAGCCCTAAACGATTTCATCCCTGAACGTGTATTAATTAAGCTGCCTACCACATCCCACATGAACCTAAGCCTGCTGCCGTGATAATCACCTGACCATTCACTTCCACTGGCTGAAGTCACATGTCGCCTGCCTTTCAAGGGCTAACATCTTGTAGCTATTTCCTGGAGCCTTCCTTGAGCGTGTGATTATTTTCCCTAGGATGAAACTGAATTCCGAGATAAATTATCTCCAATCAACATTAGCTTGAACTACAGTTTGGATGAATCCACCTTTAAAGAAGGCCCAGAAGTGCAACCGATATTGAATTACTACATGGAAAACACCGTGACCCAACAGGTAGGTCCCTGACAATCTGGGATGGTTGATTCCCAGTCAGGCCCCCGGGCATCGCTCCTGTGACTTTAACACCAAACCCAGCCTCTTGCGTTTGCATTCCTGCACACCAGCTCGTCCCACTGGGGAGATTTTCCTAACGTGTTTCCTGAAACACTGCATCATCGTGTTTTCAGAAGTCCTTCCCCTTGAGCAGCCGAGATTTAATTTGTTCTAACTGTGGCTGTTAAGGGAGGAAATACAGCTTGTGATCCTCAAAACACCGCCAGAGTGGCCTTCTTTAGGGACATGGCAGAAGGAAGGGGAATCGGGCTATGATGTCAATGAGGCCGTGTTGGGGGATCACTGCCTAGCCTAGGGTGTCTAGCGGGGCCAAATCAGGCCGCCAAGTGGAATGAAGGCTTTGCTTTAATTTGTGGAATCGTTCATACTTTTCAAGAAAAAGGATGTGATTCAGCTTTTCCCAGATTAATCCTGATGCCCGTTTGCACAACACAGGCTCACATCCTGGTGGATTGTGGCAAAGACAACGTGTGCATTCCTGACTTGAAGCTGTCAGCTAGACCGTAAGTTTAAATAAATAAACATGTGTGCTTTATCTAATGGAATACAGGTGTTTATTTAAAGCTTCTCTGGAGAAAGTATACACTTCCAACTACTACTACCAAAAAAAAAAAACAATACTCTGCATGAAATTCTTGAGCTTGGCTACACTTTGGGTTAGCCTGTGTTTGGGTCAGTTCTTTGTCACTGGTATCAAGTGACATACCCTAAGATTTTGCCTGGGCTGTTTCATCTTTCAGCAAAAGTGGGGGGAAAAGTGCTTGTTCAAAGTGAACCCCTCTGGGTGGGGGGTGGGGGGTGATTCAGGTTGTATGTACTTGCCTCAGTCCTGGGAGCCAAGACTCAGGCTGGTTGTATCTACACCTTACCCAAACTAGCTTTTGCAGCACCTCATGACTCAAAAGCATCCTTGAAATTGTCAAAATGAAATCAACTTTTTAATTTTCTGAAAAAAGAAAAATTAATGGCACTCTGTGGAGTAAAGCAGAAGGTGTCCCAAAATCAAATTAAGAATCAGAGTGCTTCGGGACCCCTGGGTGGCTCAATCGGTTAAGTGTCTGCCTTTGGCTCAGGTCATGATCCCAGGGTCCTGGGATGGAGCCCCGTTGTCAGGCTCCCTGGTCAGTGGGGCTCCCTCTGCCCCTCCTCCCTGCTCATGCTCTCTCTCTCTCTCTCTCTCTCCCTCTCTGAATAAATACAAAGTCTTTAAAAAAAAAAAAAAAAGGAAAGAATCAAAGGGCCTCCCAGTTGCCTGTAATGGAGAGTCACCAATCCAGCACTGGTAACTGCACTACATGTTGTTATGGAAAGAAATGAGACCAAGATAAAACATCCTCCGTTTGAAAAAGCAGACTCATGCTCCTCACACCCCAACACACACACACCCAAGGCCCATCCCACCACCAGTGTTTGGAATCTGCTTGGCAACCTTTCAGGGGATTTTTTTCCCAAACTTCCCATTTTAGCCAGTATCCAAAGCAATAGCTTTGATTAAGGGTCAAAAGTGTCAAAAGGCATTTCCAAATATTGGCTCAGTTTGAGGTTTGGAGAGAATTAAATTTCCTCGAAATCCTCAGTCAGCCATTTGAGATCTTATTTTACCTGCCTCTTTCTTCCCTCTTACGGTTCACTTGGCATTCACAACCCCCTCCCTTATTCATTTCTAAACCGTCTCTCCCTTTTCTCCCACTGCTCTTCTTCTGTTGGGCATGTTCAGTGTTGTGTGTGTTCAGTGATGTGCTGGAGCGGCCTCATCCTGGCTTGTGAGCCAACTGTCAAATTTCCTGGAATTTTTGCTGGCAGATTAAGTAGGTCAGTAGCCTGAAATTGATGCCCCTGGACTCAGCAAATGAAAATTTCAAAAATTGAAATCAGCTACAAATTGGTATTCCCCTTTTTTTTCTTTTCTTTCTTTTTTTTTTTTTTTGAGAACTCGTTGTTAAACATTACCAGGATGTTTTCCTGCCCTGCTCATACAGATGTGGTTCTCTCAGTTCTTTTTTTTTTTTTTAAGATTTTATTTATTTATTTGAGACAGAGAGAATGAGAGAGAGAGAGCACATGAGAGGGGGGAGGGTCAGAGGCAGAAGCAGGCTCCCTGCCGAGCAGGGAGCCCGATGCGGGACTCGATCCAGGGACTCCAGGATCATGACCTGAGCCGAAGGCAGTCGCTTAACCAACTGAGCCACCCAGGCGCCCCTCTCAGTTCTTCTCACCAGACCCTCATGATGAACCATCTTCTTATCCAAGTCTTATATTCCCACATCTTTCTTCTTTTCTTCCAAGTCCTTAAATAAGGTATCTACGAATCCAGAGAAGTATGGTACCTAATATTCCTTTTAAACTGCGTTTTTAGAGATAAGCATCAGGTCATCATTGGAGATGAAAATCATCTTACGCTCATAATCAATGCAAGAAACGAAGGAGAAGGTGCCTACGAAGCTGAACTCTTTGTGATAATACCAGAAGCGGCAGATTATGTTGGGATTGAACGCAGCAACAAGGTAATGCCTTGCACATTATTCGAAGTAGGAAAAGAGCTAGTTTTATATTGGAAGTCAAATCGATGTTAAGTAGAGCCATTTTAGCTGAGACTTTCTTCCCAAATAAAGGAGGACAAAAAGGCACTTTACTTTGGTCATCATAATAACAATGAGCCAGGAAGGGGGGTGGTCTTCTTAATCAGTATTCATATCTTTCTTGGCCATAGTGCAGAGATAAATTGGCCAAAGATTGAGAGCTGAAGCAAGGAAGAGAATACAACTGGCTGAAAGGAGAAGCTCCCTAATGCGATCTATCAGCTTGATTCCCCTGCTCACTCCCACCCTCGCTGGCTATTTTCAGACCTTTGTTTTTAGTTCCTTTACATTTCAAGCAGGGTCCCGGGAGGTCTGGTTTTCATTACTGCTTACGGAGGAAGGTCCAACCAGTCCCAGCTGAGCACTGATAACAGCCAAGACAGGCACTGGAAAGGAAACACGTTCATTTTTCTTCCTTCGTGCCCCACCTCTTTGGGACCGGGACCAAGAAAAGCCAGGTCTTCGTCATTTGTGGGTCAGGCAATGCCACCATTTATTAAACTGACAACAATGTTTTTTATAATCTTTCCTTATCAGACCACGAATCTTCTCGCTCAGGGCATCCTCAGGTTCTGCTGTGTTTTTAACCACTTGGTCTAAAAAACCATTATAAATACAGTGCAAGATATCAGAGAGAGTGCTTCGTCTTCAGAAATGTACAATCAAGAGTAGAGACCCAGCTTAACACTCTTTCACGGGAACAAGGCACAACGGGAGCTCCTTCAGGACATGCTGATGGGTTTACTCTTTTAACTACGGTTTGTTAACTGTCTGCTGGTTTCCAAATACCACAGACTCCAAGGAGTTTGAGCATTCTAATGACTACATACTTCAGTGAAGAATAATTCCTCTAAAGAGATGTTAGCGAGTTGTTGTGGTGTTGATACTTTATAGGCATTTAAAAACGTAAGGAATGCAAAATCCTCTACTCACACCTCTAGGCTTGTGGTTTATGTGTTGGTTAAATTATCTTCTTGGTAAAAAAAATAAACCCAGGTGAGTAATAATCGTGTATCTTTGGCAGTCATAAAATCATCATGAGTTTCTGTTGCAGAAATTTGTAGAAAAAGATCACCTAGGGTGCCTGGGTGGCTCAGTCGGTGAAGCGACTGCCTTCGGCTCAGGTCATGATCCTGGAGTCCCGGGATCGAGTCCCACATCGGGCTCCCTGCTTGGCGGGGAGTCTGCTTCTCCCTCTGACCCTCCCCCCTCTCATGTGCTCTCTCTCATTCTTTCTCTCAAATAAATAAATAAAATCTTAAAAAAAAGAAAAGAAAAAGATCACCTATGCACACTAACACACAAATAACTGTATAAACAAACAAAAAAGTTCAAGTATGTTATTTTTAAAAATATTCCAGGGCTCCGCTCCTATTTTCATTTGATTCCTTCATGTCCCTCCACCCCTGACTTCATTAAACAAAGCGTCTATTCTAAAATGTTCTTTTAGCAAAACATCCAGTTTACTGTTCACTTTGTTGCGTGGAAAATATGGGAGAACATTTATCGCTTCTATCTTTGGCTGTAAACATCACAACAGACATTATCCATAATCTCAAAGAAGTCCTTAACTATTTTTCTTCCATCAATTTCCCTTGGGCAGAGATTTAGCTCGGTCTTTGAATTTCACATGACTAAGCCACGTTCTAATTTATTCTTTGTTTTTAAGCAGTTTGAGGTTTTGTGTACCTTTTTATTTAAACTCAGTTCAAGTTTTTTTTCTTTTTTTTTAGACATTTTTCTCCAGGGGGAAACATATTAGGATTATCTGATTGTAAGTTTTGTTATTCTTTTGTTAAAAACATTCATCTTTTCGAAAATGTAGATGTTGACCATCTCTTTCTCTGGAAACCTTCACTGAGCCAGACTTCATACTTCTCTTTGCTGACTTTTTCTAATAAGGGCCTATGCGCTTTATATTATGATTCTTATTGATATTAGTATTGCTGTAGAATAGATATAATATAAAATTTACCATTTTAGCCACTTTTTAAATGTGCAGTTCAGTGGCATTAAGTACCTTCTTGTGCCTTCTTGTGCAACACCTAGCGCAGAACGTTTTCATCTTCCCAGATGGAGACCCTGTACTCATCCAACCCTAAGTCCCTCTTCCCCCGGCCCCTGGTAAGCCCCGTTCGACTTTCTGTCTGTGAATTTGGCTATATGGGGGACCTCCCATGCTGCCTTTCTCGGCCTCACACCCACCTCACATTCAGCGTGTCCAGAACTAGGCTTGTCATCTTCCCAAACTCACGCTTCTCCCCGACTCCCATTTCTTGTCTCAGAGAATGATACCAGTAACCACCTCGTTTCTACAGCCCGCTCAGCCCCGGGCTCTCCAGTTCATCTCTTCTCTCCACCCATCTGCCACTGTCACTGCCTTCATCTGGGCTGGCGTGATCTTTTACTGAGATGACCACAGTCTTCTAACTCATCTCGCTGCCTGCCTGCCTCCACACAGGGTACTCCTCTCCCTACCATGTAAATCTGACCCTACTGCTTCTTGCTGAAGACCCTCACTAGGTCCCCATCACTTTTTGGATAAAATCCAGATCACTCCAATAACTAACAAGGCCCTTAATTCTATCGCCCCTGTTTACTCCTTTAGCCTCATGACGGGGCTTTGATTCTTTCCTTTACCCCACACCCTAAATTCCAGCAGGACTGATTTTGTCTCCGGTTCCTGTAATACCCATGTGCTCTCTTGCCACAGAAATTGCGGCTGCTGTTCCTTCTCTCGGACGCACCAACTGCACTCCCTCCTCCCCCGTATCCAGCTTACTCCTTTCTGTTTATCCTTCAGGCTTCAGGTCGGTCATGATTGAGGCTGCAAACATTTATTGAGCAATTGAGATGGGCTGGGCACTGCTCTGAGATCTTATATGGGTTTAATATACTTAATCCCCATAACAGCCTTATAGAGAAACAGCAAGTCTGTCCCTATCCCCCACTTGGTAGACGAGGAGAAATTCAGTAACATGCCCAAAGTTACACAGCTAGTACAGAGCAGAACCGAGACTCACACCTCCACTGTTAGGTCTGATCCCGGGCTCTGAGCCACTGATCTGCACTGTCCCCCACAGCTTTGATGTCACTTCTTTGGGGGGGGCGTGGGGGCGCTGCTCTGGTCCTTAAATCTAGGTGCATAACTTCCCTATCACTATGACTCTCTCCTATCCTAAAACTCCAACTGCACTGATTATGTTTCCATTGCTTGTTATAATTGCTTGTGATTACTTATTACAATTGTTAGGATCATTGGAAATTGAGTGAGGACATGGATCTTTTTTTCAATGCCTGGTAAACAGCAGGTACACAGTAAATATTTTTAGTGAATGAATAATATCTTAAGAGCTATAAATGGATTAGAGCAGGCGTGTCCCTGTAACAGCTAAGGAAAAGAACCTAGAAATATGTAGAAAAACAATCATTGTTTCACTCAGAGAAAGGAAATAAAGGTTAAAGAAAGAAAAAGTGGGAGGGTCTGGGTAAGAAAAGATCTTTGATTGATGTGAAAAAAAGCTATTTCCAGAAAACTGGAAAAAATGTATATATAACTTTTAACCTTTAGATAAGATAAAATATTTACTATAGAAACTAAGTCCTTGAATTATATTCAAGGGACTCATGGAAATTTTGAAAAGCTTTTGCTGGGTTCTTTTTTTCTGTTTTCAGGACTGAGTTAATAATTCGAACACAAAAGTTCTCTCTGTACAATTAGGGTTAGATACAGATCCTTAAGAATTTAAATACATGCTAATTCTACCTTTCAGAGGAGAGAATGTTACCAGCTTTTTGAAACTGTGTTTCTTAGCTGCTTAGAATACTAACATGTCATTCAGATTATTTGGACAGAGCATGTATTGAATTGCCTCCAGATATCAGTCATTCACTCCTTTCTCGTGAGTCTAAACAGACTTTTCAGTGGTCGTGCCTCCCTGGGTGATTACAGGAGGGAGGATTTTATAGTTACTTGGGTTTCTGTCTATCTCATTTCAGACTCCTCTTAGGAAGTAGTGGGAGCTACTTCGGCTCTGCATCTCCCCTTTACTACTTTGTGCCCAACACTGTTCTAGGCTCTGGGAATAGAACAGATACAAAACCCCCTGCTTCCCTGAAGTTAATTTTCTCAAAGCATATGATTTACTTACAAAATTCTTTACCTGGATGTGTTTGTTTAGCACTTCTTTGTTTTGGTGTTGGATCTTGGTCTTTCTGAATTAAGTGGGAAGAATGGAATGGAGGATGGTTTCTGAAACTTTTATATGAAAAGTCACATTACTTCCTTAGATGAAATTTCAGTAGAGCTGACAGATGGACCAATGGTCCTCATATTCAGAACCCTCTTCCTTGGACCTCTCCGGGGACAAAAATTCCCAAAAGGTTGCTCCTTTGTGAAAGTCTTCCTACTGCAAGCTTATCTCTGGGAATGAGGGTGACAGGGCATATATTAGTGGCATTTAGTAAATTAGAGGGAAATAATGCCTCTTCAAACTTGAGTTTTTATACTTTCTAACAAGAATAGGATATGGGGGAGGAAGGGAGCAGGAAGCACTAGGTAAACATAAAAGTATTCTCTTCCCATCTTAAGTATTTAGAGGATGGAACTAAGCTTGATTGTATAATCTCAAACTAGGACCATGGTGTGTAGGAGTTTGTGTTCAGAGCAAATCTCTTGCAAATGCTCCTCGAGTCATATGATATCCTCTACTAATACCTGTCATTTCATTTTTTGCAATAGCTTTGTTCAGTGATGTTTACTTATCTGTGATCTTCATGGCCCGAATTTAACATTAGCAGTAGTGAAAGTAATTTCTAAAATGTTCATTATTTTATGTAGTAAGCATTTTCCTCCTCAGGGAAACACACTAAGTATGTTTACCAATCCAATTTCTTCCTATAATTAAACTTTGATTCTTTTTTTTTCTCTCAAGTTTCTCTTCTGAGTTAATGGTCACACATGAATTCTTGGGCACAGTTGCCCACACAGGTGTTTGAAATCAAGAGAAGCTTCCCGAGTTGCCTTTGGGACAGGATGTAACTTATTTGTCCCCTGAGCTCCAATGGTGGTGTTCTTTCCCATTGCAGGACCTGCGACCACTGAGCTGTGAGTACAAGATGGAAAATATAACCAGGATGGTGGTATGTGACCTTGGGAACCCTATGGTGGCAGGAACAAATGTAAGAGAAAACTAGAAGCCCTTACTAAGTTCTAATTGAATTTTAAAGAGAGCTAGTACAAAGCTCCCCAATTAGCACTCAGCAGGTTAGCACCTGGCAACTAAAACAAATTAGGCAGGAAATTACCAGGGTGGTGGATTAAACATTCTATCCTATACAGGGTAGGGAATCTAAGGTTAAAAACTCAAAAAGATGAATACTTTTATATGCTTTCTCTTTTGACTTTACTCTTACATGTCTTTTAGATGCTTTATGAAGATGTTTTGCTGAAGATTTTCTCTTGGTATATTTTTTCTTTGAATGTCACTGCAGTTTTTTCTTTGTATTCAGTAAATGACTTAAGAAATAACATAAAGATTTTAGCAAGGAAGATTAAGCTTTTATTTTTGACATACCTCCCACATAATATCATTCGCAGTATTTTTATATTAAAATGTTACCATAACCCAGCTTTTGAGTTAGCTTTACCAGGTCTATATTTTCCATGTATTTTAATTGAAGAATAATACAGAAAATTGTAGCAAGAAAAACAAAAGATAATAATCTGTAATGTGCTTTTGAAAGAATAAGGGCATGTTTTTCTTCTTCTTTTTCTTTGTTTCCAGATTTAGGAACTTTTCATTCAGGATGACTTGTGGACAATAAGCTTATTTTATTCAATAGCCATTTAAGTACACATAGTAACTTCTTGTAATAAATATCTTAGTGGCAATACTTATGAAGTCATAAATCAGAAAAAAATTCTGAAATCTGCAAATACTGCATACTTAAATGTTGCATAAACTAAACATACATATTCCTGTTTTAAATTAGATATTTATGATTATCAATAAAGTGGCCTATTTGAAAAAAATTTTCATAAAAATTTATAATTGCATAGGTTTGTATTAGAATAGCTTCCCAAAATATATTCCAAAGAGTACTGATCCCTTGAGATAAGGCTTTAAAGGGGAGTTCTGTGGTCAATGCTGAGTATCATATCCTCCTCTGGGGCATTCACATGCACGTTTGCATTTTAAAGGTGCTGAGAAGTCCTGCAGTAAATAAACCTTTTAGCCCAGGATCGCTCACATTTATTTGAGCATTTGAAACTATCAAGAAATACCTATTCCCAATTTATACTTTAGGGTATTGTGCTGGAATAGTATTTTTGCTTTTCTACACCCTAATAAACTCTATTCCATGATCCCAGGTATTTATGAAGTGTGCCAAGCTATAGTCTAGTAAACTCACTTGTTGGGTCAAAAAAAGTAAATATTTAAATGAAAGATAAAATTCTATAACAGATTTTTATTAGCTAACATGTACTGATTGCCCTCTGTGTTATAAGCCCATCACTGGGTGCTCTGTCTTTTATGTTATCTCATTAAATTTTCAAAACCAACAATCCCATGAGTTGAGTATTTCTCCTATGTTATAGGTGAAGAAACTGAGAAATGTTAAATATTATGTTAAATAAATTTCCCAAAGTCACACAGGTATTGAATGACAAAACCAAGGTTTAAACCAGGACTGAACACAAAGTCCATGTTCTATCCGGTTGTCAAAATTGTGAAAAGTACTTGGATAAAAACTAATGAATAACAGATGAGATGAGATTTTTAAAAGAAGCCATGAAAGATAGAATGGGATTTCTAAGCTGAGAAGTTAGAACATTTTTCATTAGAATCCTTTTATCTAGAGACTAGTAAGTCCTTTTGCTAGTGTCCAAGAAAAACCCAACCACCTAGTTTGGTGTAGAGAAGAGGTCTACCCAAAGCCAAAGAGGAAGAAATTGACATGGTAGCGGCAGGATTTGCAACTAGAGGTGACCAGGCGCTCATTCCTTTGTCAGTATTAAAAGTGTTAAATCTAAACTAGAGATCATCTAAGATCATTAATAACTAAGAATAATCTTGGAACAAAAATTGGCCACTGGGGACATTCCAAGTGGAGGGTAAAAATGGCAGTGTGGCCTTAACCACATATGTGTTTATGTGGCAGGATGTCAATCCATTTTACCCACAAATAATTTTTGGAAGTCAAGGAAGTAAATTGTTTGTATTCATTTATCTGTGAGGTCTGTAGTGGAAGAAACCTAATAGCTTTCTTATCTCGCCCTTTAATGCCCTTAAATACATCAAATTTTATAGCATTCTGTTTTGTTATAAAACATTTTGATTTATTTACTTCTTCATTTTGTACTTTAAAAAAAATAGTCTCAGTGGATTGTAGTAAAATTCCAAATGTAAAAGCGGTCCTAAATATTAAAAAGCATCATAAATCACCAGGACCATTTATTTTAGTCCCAATATTTAAAAAAAAAGAATTTTCAAGAGACTTTTTATTTAATTTAATAAAACATTCTAGTTAGTATTCAGAAGTATTACTTCTGATTTATAAGTAGTAATGTCATTTTCATATAACATCTATATGTGCCAAAAAGAATTCATAAAAACTTGCAAAATCTCTCAATCAGCAAAACAAAAAAGTAGTGGTCCCACAGAGGTTCTTTAGAATCAATGCCCAGAGATCTGGTGTTCGGTTCTAGTTGAAAACACACGGGTCTCTTACCGATACAAAATTGTCACATCATTGTTGTGTCTTTGTCCCAGGATCAATTGTTCTATAATGAAGACCAACATTAGCCAGGCTTCTTCCCAATACAGTAAGATCCCCATCACTGGAACTGTGCAAACGACAGCACACTCCTTCACATCATTCTTTCAACCATTTTTATTGTACCCCTTCTATATGCCTGATACTAAGCTAGAGTCTCACAACATCAAGATGAAAATATACAATCCCCATTCAATAAGAAACTCAAAATTAGCAATATCAGAGGTTGAGTGATAGGAGAGTAGCAAAGAAGGAGATAGGGAATAAAGAGAAAATTTCTGCCTGACCTGGCCTGTGGGACCATACAGTATATTGCAGGAGGATCTTTTTCCTGAGCTTTGAAGCGTGAGTAGAACCTCTTCAAGTAGAAAAAGCAGGAAAAGTTTTAAGAGGTTTCCAAAGAAGAGAAGAGTTTATGTGCAAAGTCCCAGAGGTCTAACCGAAAATCGCACATTTGGTATTATAAAGGAATTCATCGTGGCTGCAGTGTAAGGATGGATTGGCTTAATAATTTGACACACCTGGCTTTGAATCCCAGCTTTGCCATTTATCAGTTGTGATAACTTGGACGAGTCACATTGAAATTCGAGAAGCCCCATGTTTAGGAATATTTGGAGCAGTGCAATTATATGATGTATATAAAGCCACTAGGGCAGTTCCTGGCTGGTAGCACGATCAGTACGGGCTAGTTAAATAATGATGATGACTTATGATAAAAATAAAGATTTACTAGTTCATATTATTACTGGTTCATATTAACGCAAGTTTTTAATCACTGATTTGATTCTCATAGCGTAGTAGCCAGGAAGAGTACAGGTCCCGGAGTCAGTTTGCAGGAATTTCAATTCCAACTCTACAATTCACTTGCTGTGCACCTGGAGGAGGGAACTTCATTTCCCTAACCCTCAGATTACTGCTCGATTGTAAAATGTCAGCAATCACAGTACCTACCTGTGGGGTGGTTGTCATGATTATGTGAGACAAGGCATGTAAGGTTTACCACAATACATGGGAGAGTAAGTCATATAATTACTTAGCTCTTATTTTTACTTCCTTATTTATATTATCGTTGGATTTATTTTCCCCAACATTTTAAAAATCTGTCCTCAAATTAAAAAAATAATAAGAACGGCTTCAAAACTTGAGAAAATAAAGAAAGGTGGAAAAAACAATCCGTACACTCATAACCTTAATATAACCATAGCATGTTATTCTGATATATTTTCTTACCATACACCCTCACTCCTGTACAGTAATTTTTCCATCGATAAACTTTTAAAACAATAGGTGAAACACATTGCACTGTTTCTTTATGGGTCATCATTACATTAGAAGTATTTTCCACATCTTTGCATAGACTTCACAGCCATAATTTCAATGACTACCTAAATGTGCATCAAACACAAGCATTACTGTTATCTAAATCAACCATCTCTCATATATTTAGGTTGCTTTTAATTTAGCACATAGGAAGGTGGCCGGAGAAGAGTTCATACGGGGCTAAATGAAGGGAAGGAACCATAATGTACGGGGACTTGAATTGTCTGGGCCCTGTCATCTTAGTTACATGACTTCCTCTCAGCAACCCAGGGTGGAAGCAAAGAAAAGGACAGCAATCTAGGATGGGGATTTGCAGGGATGACTTAAAAAAGATTTTTACGCTGTGTAGAAAGTCCCTCCCTGTCATAAACTTAGTGTCTTGTGATTTTTTTCTTCTAGTATTCTCTGGGCCTCCGATTTGCAGTTCCACGTCTTGAGAAAACAAACATGAGCATTAACTTCGATCTCCAAATCAGAAGGTTAGATTTTTAAGTGCCTAAAATTATGGTCAGCATTCAATATAGAGAGTGAAATGAATGGCCACTCTTCAAGCTCCTTAACCTTAAAAGTTCTCCTGAAATTAGAACCCAGACATTCACAGATCATTTTTCCTTTGTTTCTGTTATTTCAGTTTTGTAATTTTTTAATTAATTAATTAATTAATTTATTTATTTATTTTTATTATTTTAGAAAAGAGATCTATTCTATAGGCCAAGTTATTTTACTAAAAATTTTGGCCTGGGTACCCTCCCACTCACATTTACCTCCATTTTTCCTCATTCTGATTCACTTCCCTTCTCCCACCCTCACCAACACCCTACTACATACCCACCATGCTCTCAGCTGGGGGTCGGCTAATCCCTGAGAATAAAATTTTTGCAAAAAAGCATAGATTATGCATTTGCAATCTTGAAATCTAACTCTTCAAGAACCAATGAGTCTCTGATAGTTTCATTGTGAGTACCACGGCAGGAAGCAGGTGTGATCATATATTCATTCAGAGCCTTCATTCAGGGCCTTCTCTGGTAACTACAAGCCAAAGCAGGTAAGTAGCTGCCCCTTTTTCCTAAGACTGACCCTTTACAGATGTTCAAGTGTAACTACTTTTTCACTGTCTATTCCGTTTGCTCCTTCATGGCTGAAAATAATATTTAATGAGTGGGAAGTCTTGTAGGGAGCAGTGTGCATGAAAGCCCAACTGTGGACTTCAACCCATTAGCCAGTAATGGAATCAATTTAATGGCTCCAGGCCAGTATTAAAAGAGAAGGAGATTGAATAGAATGTAATATACCAGAGTCCTGTTCATGAAACAATCCAATTAGATAAATATAAATGTGTATAGTAAGATACCCTGTGAAATGTCTATATTTCTTTTGTGGTCTGCAATTTTAAATGTCTGAACAACATTGATATAAACAGCATTTGTTCAGTGCGGTGGACCCTTATTCTAACTATAACACAACTCTGAAGTCCGTCTCTACAGTTTGGTTTTCAAATACTAGTGTGCAGTGTGACTCAATCTCTAAACTTATCTTCTGTCCTGTAAGAAGTGATTGGAGAGTGTTGACTTTGTGCAATGGATTACTTTTTAATAGCTGCTTTGATTAAAGGTTTAGAGTTTTTTAAAAGTATATAAACTCTATAAGAATATAGCAGATTTTTAAAATCTACAACCTAGGGGAACCTGGATGGCACAGTTGGTCAGGCAACTGACTCTTGGTTTTGGCTCAGGTCATGATTTCAGGGTCCTGAGATCAAGCCCCGCATTGGGCTCCACGCTCAGCATGGAATCTGCTTGGATTCTCTCCGTCTCCCTCAGCCCCTCCCATTCATGTTCTCTCTCTCTCTTTCTCTCTCTTCTCTCTCTCTCAAAGAAATAAATCTTTTTAAAATATTTTAAAAATCTACAACCAATATCACAAACCACATCCCCTAAATTTTATGATAGACTTCTAAGAAGGAAGGTTTTCTAACTTACCTTAGGTCCTTTTCTGACCTTAATTAGGTCTTTTTTAAAATTTAACTTACTATTTTCTGCTAGAGATTTTTAAAAATTTTTACCCGTCTTAGTGATGAGATGCAGACAGAATGAATTCTGTAATATCATTTTACCAAAAGCTTATTAAATCACTTCTTTGTATAGATATAAATGTATATCTTCCAAAAGTTTCAGGTAGTCCTAAATATTTTCATTTGGGAAATATCTGTAAGTTTTCAGAAAAAAAGAAAAAAAGTAAAGGCACTCCATAGTGAGGACCACCATCACTCCAGACGGTAGCCTGAAGTTTCTTTTTCTCACCATTACTGTCTGTGACATTGGTCCTGCAATGACATGAAGATACATCTCTCATGAAATATAAACCCTTTATTTAGAAAGAAAATCTGGTACAAAGATGTAAAGCAAATTCCTTGACACATCCTTCTTACTTTTGATTACAGTTACAGGTAACAGAATGAATGCAACTAGTAATTCACTCAAGGAGCAAAGGACACCAAATGATGTTCTAAATGCCTTCCCCAAATCCATCCTGGAGATCATCATTCAAATAGTGAATTCAGCAATGAAGTGCTAAATTTGATGGAAAATAGAAATGGCCACATTTTAACATCCCCCTTCATCTAAAAGAATGGACAGTGATTATATTCTATCCTTACATGCTATAGAAACTCATGACTATTTTAATATTATCTTGAAAAATATATATATAAAAATGCAGAAATGAAGAACCAGAGAGGCTACAGGGACATACATAAACCATCAAATTCCCAAAACAGACATTTCAGAGATGAAAATGTTTGAGAATACTTAACACTGAGGTGAGCATTTATCTACATGCTTTCCAAGGACATAAATAAGTATTTAATGGACAGTTTGCATTCAATTTAAATGTGTTAAAACCAAAAATAAATTAAACCAAATGCTCTGAAGTCTAAATTCTTAAGCTTTTGACCACATTGACCACTGTTACCCACATTTAATGTCCTTTTCCACAAACAGAACCCAAAAGAGAAACGGGGCTTTATTTATTAATAAACTTAAAATAGTTCATGTTACCAAATGTTTGCATTAAATGGTCTCTTCACTCCGTGGCTCTGTGTGACATGTAAACATTCTCCTCCCTGAGTACAGTGGGTCTCAGATCGCAATTCCCACATACAAATAGGTCTTCATGATGTCATTGACATTGCTTCCTCGGCCGTGGTGAAATGAACATCGTATTGTATTTGCTGACGTTCCAAAGACCACAGAAAGCACAGAGGGAATGTTAGAAAACAGAAAATAGGAAACAATAAGGAAAAAGAAAATAGCATCAGAGCAATAAGTAAAAAATATGTTTATCCTTGGTGCATGACATAGGGTGTAGTCATGGAGAGGAAATCCATCATTCCTGCATAGAACTAGCACCAACAGTATAAATAGCTCAGCGTCCAGGCAGTGGGTGATGGATTGCTTGTTTGAACGTAGCAGTGGTATTAGCGAGGGAGGTTTCCTTCCAGGAAAGAGGTCAAGGAAGCATCTAAGTTATCTATCAAGCCCAGTGCCTTTCTTACCAGGACATATTGTTGATACCACTGGTTGATTACAGCACCAAGTGTCATGACAAAGCTGTGTGACAGAGGACAATTTTGAGTAGCCGGCCAGATCTAGTCTCCACATCTGCTGTTGCTCTCATTACTTTGCAAAATAGCCTCTGTCAGCTTCCGATGAGACTTCGGTCCGAAGATGATTTCAGTGCCTGACACCTATTTACATTTTCAGGGTGTTGTGAGTAAAGGCAATTGTGTCATTTCAACCACGTGGAAACAAAATGCAATGACATTATGGGACAGCTTAAATGAAACTTTTTTTTCTTAATTTGTATATCCACTGCTGCAAAGCAGTGAGAACTAGAAAATTGAACCAAGTCTGGGTAATGTGTGGAACAATGAGACTTAAATTTCTAAACTAAAGAGTTTCCCGTCATGCATTTGGAACTACACAATGTGTGACAAGTAGAATTACTTAATGACTTCTTGCTGGTTAGCAATTCAGTAATTAAAATATAAAACAAAACAAAACTCTTCAGTTGACTGATTTTCCCCAGATGTGATAATAATAAAGTGGCCTGGAAACTGGGGTTCAGACTTTGATGAACAAGCCCCCCTAGACTCGTCACAAGGTTAGCCGTGATGCCCCATGACAGGAAATGAGCCTGACATTGGCCTGTTTATATCTTTTATGTGTGTTTGTGGTTGAAGTGGCCTTATCAGTATAAACAATCAGACAAGGCTTTTCAAAAAGCATTGTGGGAACGATTCTGTCTCCTCCTCCTTGGAAAGCCGGTTCTTATCATCTCTCCAGCTCCCACATTTGGAAAGCTTCAAAAGCCAGTCAGACCATACCCCATTACCACCACTGCGGTGTGAAAGCTTATCATTGAATCTGCATGAAAGTCGATGATGAAAAGAGGAGGCTTTCTCTTCTTAATGAGACCTGGATATAAACATGACCTGTCCGTGGTGGTGTGACCACATCTGTTTGCTGAAAGCTGCATTATCTTTGGGATATGAGGGTGACTCTAGGGAAAGCAAAATGGGGTTATAAAAGCAAATGGCGTCTGCATTCAAAGCTCAGCTACTGGTCCAGCCTCTTGTGAGAACATGTTTCATTTTCCTGACAGGACTGGATGCTTAACATGCATTTTTTAAAAATTAAATTTCATATGTAGGCACAGCTGGGAAGCACATTCAGTTAAGCGTCCGACTCTTGGTTTCGGCTCAGGGTTGTGAGATTGAGCCCCACCCCGGGCTCTGCACTCGGCGTGGAATCTGCTTTGAGTTTCTCTCTCCCTCTCCCTCTGCTCCTCAATCCCCCCACGCTCTCTCTCTCTAAAATAAATAAATAAATCTTTTTAAAAAAAAATTAAGTTTCATAGTAATTATATTTGCTTGAGAGAAAAAAAACAGCAGACTTAAAAATAATTTTGCCACTGTTCAAAGAAACATTATCAAACACGCACTTTCTATCCTGAGATTCTTGATGCACCTGACAACATCTATGTCATCTCCTAAATGCCTTAACATGAGCTGCCCAAATTCCTAGGGTCTTGCTTCTTCCCGCCATTGGCTATGATTTCAATTCCCTCTCGCCCCCCACCCTAGTCAGCCAGTGAGCATGCAGTGAATGTACACTTATTTTAATATTACTGCAGAAATAAACCATAAGGAAGATAAATTTGCTGCCAAAACAATGTATGGTGTGATGCATTCCAGAGCCAAACACAAATGCTTTTTCCATTATGTGCTGCTCTTAGATTATCCATGCTAGTTCTCTTCTTTATTAGCATGGAGAATCAGGAGTTGATTGTGCCTTCCGTTCCCATTTAATGGGCAATGAACTTGATGCACGGAGAAGTAAGGAATGTGTCCAAGGTAGAAGCTGGAAAATGAACTTAGCTCGCTGCCTTCTTGGTTTAGCCATTGAAACAAAAAAGGGTTAGCTTTTCTAGATGTCTGTTGTGTTTTCAGATAAGATGTCTTTTCATGGAAAGTTATTACATTCCTTTTACTCATAAAGAATCTTAGCATTTCCATTTTCAAATGGTTATGATTTTGTAGAATGGATATGCCATTGTTTCCTGAATGATTGTATTAGTAATGTTTGTTGTTCTTTTGATCTACAGAATGTTATGGTGGTATATTGTAACGTGTCTGAAAAAATATATTTAAATCATATTGTCCTTGTGTTTTAGTTCCAACAAGGACAACCCAGACAGCAATTTTGTGAGCCTGCAAATCAACATCACTGCTGTAGCTCAAGTAGAAATAAGAGGGTAAGTAATAATCAAGTCATTGTAGTAGTTATACTGTAGTAATAGCTTTAATTATGAAAAAACACTAGTAAAAATTATACGGAATTTTCCTAATGCATTAGCAATCACAATTCATTTTGGTTATAAATTTTCATTCTTTTCTACCCATCATTAGACTTCCATTGAAAACTAGAGTAAACCCTATATGGTAATTAACTCAAAGGATATCAAAACAAGAGATCACTTTATTCCCCAAACTGACAGATCAGTAATCAGACTATAAAAACTAGTGATAAGAAGTCAGATAAAATCAACAAACCTGTGATTGCCCAAAACTCTCACTTCTCCAGTAATTATTTTGGCATAATGAAAACTCAGCCTTATTCTACATCTTGAGTTGAACAAATGGCTAACTCTTAGATGTGAGGGTTTCTGGGATTTACATTTTTGTACATTGAGGTCTTTCAACCATTTGGAGTCTATTTTTGTGTGTGGT